CAACAGGCCATGCTTGTTTGTTTTGTGTCAGAGTTTTAGAATTATAACATTTTTGTTTTAGTTTAGGAGCAGAAGAAGGAATGTACCTGAGGCAACACTTCAGAGTTTTTACAGCAGCCTGCTACAGGCATTTTATCTTGAATTCCATTATTCCAGGGATTTTCAAAGTCAAAGAGAGTGAGTCTCCGCTCAGTCATACCACACGTACGTTTACCGGCTTAAGTTTCTCCCAAACAACTTTGTAACTATCTCACTAAGGATATTGCACATATTAATGATCTCCTTTTAGTGTCATAACTTATATCATGTATTTCCACTTCCATTCACTTATCCTCCCCCATGGGATGGCCCACCTCCAACTTTGAAAACCCCTGCATTATTCCACAAGTATGTGCGGTSTGAGATATTTTTCCTGCAGTTTGGACTCCACAGCTCATACTCCYGATTAACCATTTTAATGTAGCTCATGGCTGCGTATTTCTTTATCTGTGTTTTTGAAGCCTATCATGCTTTTTCCACATCAGTGAGGTGTAATTGTCAGTGAAAATGGTTTTCTAAGCATGTATATTGACAATAGGATCTGGCCTCAGAAAGTGTTGCATGCTGTGGAAGCAGATAGAAGCTGAGTCCACTGTGATTTCATTATCATGTGACAGTTTACTAGAGAGGGCTACTCGGTTGGACCAAAGTTTCCGTGCCTTTAGTGTTCCTTTAAATCATTAGAAAACAAGCATTTTAAAACAATGAAATGTTGCATTTTAGGAAAAAAAAAAATCAAGTGTCAAGATAAATCCCACTTTTTTTCTTTTGATACAATAAGACCTCCAGACTTGAGATGTTTTCTCAGAAATAATAGTCATGTATATTTTTTCCTCCAAGTCTGATTTTATACAGTTCTTCATGTAATATTTGGTATAGTTCTGAGGCACAATTAAAGGATGAATTATTTTCTAACAAGGGGAGGTGCGACTTGGTTTCCTGCTTTTTGAGTTTTCCCTCTCATGGTCTCTTGTGTACACTGCATTWTCTCTGTAGCATGTCTAATAAAACTCTTCTGTAGCTCTGCATTCACCTCTTCTGTCTCTCCTCTCTTCTGTKCGTTCCGCTCACTCCTGAAACTAGCTCAGTCCCAGGGTGGGAAGGAAGCCAAGCTCCATTTTGGAGCCACTTGACAAACAAGCTCTAATAAGCCAGATTGAGCCCTCTGATGGTTCTAATTCACAGGACAAAGAGGTGCGTTTTCTTGATGCATTTCCCACCCTGCCAACTGACACAATCTATTCCTCTGATGTCTTTGCTCTTCTCTCCGCTGCTAGGTGCCTATTTTCCAATCAGTGTCTAAGGGCCTCTGCTCTCCTGACAATCTCTCTCTGATCTATCTACTTGCTCTCACACCTTTAGCAAATACTTAAATGGCCTCATTTGTCAGTTTTCGAAACCTGCTTGTTGCGCTGATGGCGGCTTTATAGTAACCTAGCTACAMACGTGAGCGTTGATGATAAAATTAGTTAAGTCAGTGAATGCCTGCTTTTTTTGCTGGAGAATCCCAAAGAGCAACAGGATGTGTTCTGGATGCACCTTTGATTTGTAACAGGGGCTGCACATGTACCAGCCAATCAAATCACACAAATGCTAACTCTAGTGACGTTGCTCGATGTCTACTGCATGTTCAAATTGACACATTTATTAAAGACGCCATGTCACTTTCACAAAGTAATATAACGTCAGTGCTGCCCACAGATGGTAAAATAGTAAATGGTCTGTATTTATACAGCGCTTTTCTCGTCGATGACCAGTCAAAGCGCTTTACAGATTTACATTCACCTATGGCCTTATATGTGCACCAGAATTTTTCATTATTGCCGTATGGAAACGTTTTTAAAATGACATTACATCCTCATGCTGGGAGGAAAAAAGAAGTGTAGACAAGTTAACTGAATAATACAATAAGAAAGATTAGATYTTTTCTGGTGTTTCTTGGAGAATTATTCCTGCTTGGACTCATGACTTCAGTAWTTCTTAAACCTGGCTCCGGCCCTGTCTTCACAGCTGTTTCACAAGACTTGTATCAAAAGAAGCCCCAATATGCAGAAACCAAATATAAATAAAATAACTGCYCGGCTTCAACCATGTCTTCATCTGGTTTACATTATGCACAATGCCCAAGTTCTACTGGAATGTTGTATCAAGGTTTCAACATGTGGTGCATGGACTGAGCACGGTGCAGTGAATCTACCGACACTGTACCTTTACTTCAGGGTGTGTGCCAAATATAGAATATCAGCTCATACAGAGTACTGCAAATCTCACCAGGTTTATTAACTTAAGTCTACAGCAATAGATACTGCCCAGACACTGGATAGGATTATATGGGATGTAGAGATGGTGTGGGTGTAGCTAATACATGGAAACACTGAATTTGCAAGATTTCTTTAAAGCTTTTGAGAAAATATGGGGATCCTGTCGGGTCCGTYGAGTTAAATAAAGCCCACTACTTGATACAGTGAGAAGATCAACAATGTGGATTCCTATKAGTTTATATGGTAAGTAAGTATGGTGTAGAACATTTGGCACAATGGTAGTCCAGAGGGCTGTCATGGTGTACAACTGAAAGTAACATCTAGCATAGATGTGAATCTAAAATGTCATTAACTTCAAACTTTGTCCTTGACTTGCCATTGGTGATAAAACTAGTTGATTGTCACATTAGTGAAAACTAACTTGCAAATGATTGTTACGCCCCACGATTATGTGTCACTGACCACCACTGACACGAATCAACAGAAAACCTTTAAAACAGCAGAACCATGGGAATTATTAACATCAAACAACACAATACACACAATGTTCAAATCCCCAGGCTGAGGCCCAGCAGTCCCCACACTGGAAGCCTCCCTTCTGATCCTGACACAGGAGTTTTTAAAGGTCCTCAATCCACTGGCCAGGTGCACCTCATTGATGACTGATGGGTTGATCAGGGTGGAGCTAGAGGAGAGACAAGAGAAAATCYGGGACACAGTACAGCAGTAACAATGATCTTTATTTATGCAACTAGTCTTGGTGACCACTCAAAGCACTTTACATCACAGTTTTGCCATCCACCCATACAGTTCTTTCTCTATTAAACATCAGGGGAAACTTGGGGGTATCTATCATTCTGACATTCGAAATAAAGGAGATGGGGAATAAACCGCTGATTCTTTGGTTAGTGGAAGACCCACACTATACTTCTTGAGCTGGTGCAGTAGGCCATTTGGAATTGTAGGATATACTGAAGATGTGTCCTTGTTCATGAAACACAGATCTAACTTAAAAACATTTTAAGAAGGCACTTTTTACCATAAATTTAGCTGACTAATCCACACATGCAGAATCAAGTCGATTTCACTCTGGCGTAGAAAGTTGTTACTTCCATTTACAAAGCTGTCCAAGAAGATGTTGTAATACTTTGCTGAAATTTGTTCTATCACTCAATGTTTCAGTGATTTTCTAAAATMWAATGAAACAGTGTGAAGGAGGGATTGGATGACTGTACAGCCTCCATGTACACTCCATATGAAATGTAATAATATGCATTTCCTGATCTTTCATCATGCATGCTTCTCAGAATGAGGTTGACAGGAGGCAATATACAATAATACACTCATATGTAAACAGCAGTTAGGCCTGAACCCCTGATGATTACAGTCAACCACTGAGGTTCAATTTGTGTCTGTACATGACTGGAAATGATAAAGTTGCTGCCGATGTGTTGATGTAAACTGGCATTGCTTTAGGGACCAGGCCCATCGGCAGGACTTTGCGATGATGGACGTCCTGTCAGGCATTGTCTGATGAAGATGACGCTCCACAGTCAGGCCCTGGGACCAAGCAGATGACCTGAT